AAGCTTTGGCACTGTGTGTGTGTCCATCCATCTGTCCGTCAGTGCATCCACTCATCTGTCTGGGGTTAAACCCAGCCAGTTCCCTCCCCATCCCCCAGCCTGGCTCCATCACACGCGGGTGCTGGCACTTTAATTCCCTTATTTATCATTGAAATTGTCTCTTAATTGCTTTGGCAGCCCCTCTGAAGCCTTGTGGCGAGGGAGAGAGGTGCTGGTGTATAAATAAAGGAAAGAAACAAGTAACTGGCTGAAAGCAAGGGAATGGATCCTTGCAGGGCTGCCCCAGGGGATGGCACCCATTTACCTGGGGCAAATCTCCCTACCGGGGTGCCTGGATGCCTCTGGGGGTGACAGGCTGGTCCTCAGGAGGCTCTAATGTGGTCGGGGGGGGCTTTAACCCCCCCAAAACTGTGACTTTCTGGCCCAAGGACGCCAGCACACACAGCTGCGCCTTTGGGGTCAAGCCCGAGCCAGGGTTGGAGCTGTGAGAACAAAAGAGAGCTGAAAAGGGAGGGAGAAATAAATAAATATATATAATTCCCAACCCACACTTTAGATTAATTAGTGATGTCCCCAGTGACTCAGCAGAGGCCAAATGGCTTTTGCCTCATGTTTTATTGAAGGGCTCTGCTGCGGTAGGCTGAGGGCAGTGAGGGACAGGGGACACGGGGGTGCCAGGGATGCTCCATGGGGATGGGTGTCCTGGGTGCCCCCGTCCCCTGCTGCCATGGTGGCATCTGCATAATCATCTGTACCCGACAATTGGGATGGAACACACCGGTTTTCGCACATTCCCGAGTGATAATCTGTTGGGAATGGAGCTGAATGGGGAATGAGCATCTCAGAGAGGGTGGGAGCTGCGTTACCCCCTCTATGGACCACAGAAGGGCTGAGCTGCTCCTTCAGCATCCCCACACCCCAGGGAGCACTAGGGATGAATCCGCAGGGAAGCAGCAGGCTGGAAGCACCCTCTGATAAGGCTTTCCAAAGCAGGGGGTGGGTAGTTTAGTGCTTAACAGCCGCTGAGGGATATTTCTTTTGGGTGAGATTGTCTAATCAATCACTTTTTAATCCAGCCAGCTCCTGGGATGCTGCTGGGTCTGTGCACAGAGAAATACAGTCAGCTCAGTGCTGGCCACTGCTGGGGGGCTCAGCCCTGCTGGGGGGGACAGGCAATGTGGCCCCATCTACCAACAGCCTCTGCAGCTCCAGGACCACCATGGCATGGATTATTTTCACTACCCTCATCGTTCAGCATCATAGAATCATCATGGAATGGATTGGGATCAAAGGGACCTTCAAAGGTCATCTAGTCCCAGTGAGCAGGGACATCATCTAGATTAGGTGGCCCAGAACCACATCCAGCCTGGCATCATGACATCCCACTGCTGAGGAAAGGGGGGGATGAGGCAGGCCAGCATGGCCAGCCATGGGGAAGAGGATTCCAACGGCAAGGATGCTGCTATGGGGAGATGGTGGCTTGGGTGAGGGCAGAGGGAGGTGGTTAAATCACGAACCAGAAGAGATACAGGGCCAGGAAAGTGCAATAAGGGGTCAGCAGGTGCTGATAGCTCCTGGGGTCAGGACCCGGCTGCCCAAACCCGTGTTGGGAAAGGTGGGGAGCAGCTTCCTATAAACCCTTCAACAGCTAACCCCCCCCCAAGTGACACACAGCCCCTCGGTGATGTTCAACCCTTGTCCAAACCTGCCTCTCAGGCTCAATGTTTGTATTTTTACTACCCTGGCCACTGCTCTTCCAAATGCTGCCAGAGCCCGAATCCATCCCCAATACCAGTTTGGTCTCAGATTTACAGCCCAAGCCCCAAAATCCTCCACTGCTTGTGAGGTCCTTCGAGAGAATCGCAGCAGAAAGTGTTTATTTCCACCATAAAGATCTGTTTTAATATTTTACCATAAATCAAGCTGTGCTTTATAGTGATAATAAATTTGTTGGCACAAAACTGCCTTTGCAGCCCGAGGCAGTGGAGCGATTCAATTTGTTTGGGTTTAAGTGTAAGGAGCCGTAATGGAGAAGGGGAAAGTACAGATGTTTTAATTGAGTTTGCAGCTATCACCCAGAGTTGCAGGAGGCTAATAGAGAAGAGGTGAGGGTCTCCATTAGCCTCTCTGCTTGCCATTTCCCCTTGGCCTGCAGCACCATCCGTCACGGCCGTTCCCTCTGGGAATAGCTGCTCAGTGCATGCACCAGAGGAGGAAAGCAGTGGAAAAAGCAGCCAGACTAAACCAGATGTATAATGCATGTTTTATTGGGTTTAATCCCATTTTTGGAGAACTAATTACAGTCAGGACAAGCATCACATGAGACTCTGTGATAATCAAGTGTTAGTGTTGATAATGGTCAAATAAAACCAGGCTTTCACGATGGGTGAGAAGGGGGAGCTCCTGCCCTGCACCGAGGTCACCCAGTGTCCCCCCGGACAGTGCTGGCTCCACTGAGCCATCCCCTTCCCTCTTTCTCCAGTAATTTTTAAGGCATTGCTATGTCACATCTGATATGAAGAACGTTCTCTCTGCCATAGAGCTTCTTTCCCTTAATCACCCCAATTCCTCAGATATATTTGTGCAAGGACAGCAGGTTATTTGTTTAAGAAAGCACTCGTGCTTGTGGAGACCAGAGTCCTTCTCACTAAGGTACCATGGCAAGGGCTGGGGGCAGGATGCGAGCCCTCACCGTGCCACTGCATCCAAAACCGGGATCCAAGCAGCTCTAAGAGGTAAGGTCCCTTAGAAATCCCTGCCACCACCGCGCCGAGGAGGAGCGGGGGTCACCCAGGCCAGGAAGCGAAGGCACATCTTTAACAGTAAGAGATGCAGAAGAGAGGGTGGATTTGCTGCCTCCCATCCCAGGCAAGGCAGCCTGATAAAGGGACAGGAAGGGATGGAGACCAAGGGCAGCCCTAAGAGGGGAAGGGAGGATGAGAGGTGAAATAACAGAGCACAGCCCCATTCCCTGGCTGGCAATGAAATGTGGAGGGAAGAGATTGCGATGGGCGCTTGCAGCGATGGAGGCAGAGCCAAGTGCCTCGCAAAGCAGGGCCTCAGCCCCCCCACCACCCACATCTGTGCCCTTGTGCACAGCACACCCCCTGCAGCCTCTCCAGCTCTCCAAAGGCTCATTTCATCAGCACTAAATTCCTCTCAGCTGCCTCGCAGGTGGCTCCCAGCAACGCTGCCCCACGGATCTGCCCTCCAACCTCCCTCTTCCCAGGACACCACCACCAGCTACCTGTAAAGAACTTGTTCATTTGGCACTGAAGATGCCCCAGCAGCTTTCCCAGAGCACCTGGGGATGTTTAAAGTCACTGCCAATGCTTAGGATCAAGCTGGAGAGGAGGCAAACAGTCCCCTCGGATCCTCTCCAAGCAGCTCAGCAAGGACACAGTGGCGGTGCTCAGGCTCAAGAGGTGCAGGGTTTTGCTTTAAAAGCCATGAAGTGTTTTTATACAGCTCCAGGTACTTGCATATTCCCGCAGGAGGAGCACTTCAGGTCATATGGAAACCAGAAAGTTCTACTTGAAAACAGAGCTTGATTAAAAAGAGCTGCAGTTCAAAGCTTGCTTTAGCGAGCGAGACACTTAATACTGCAGCAAGTGCAGAGGGCAAGAGGATCTGACATAAGTGACACGCACCTGGCTTTGAACCTGCTTTAATAAGGGGGGACTTAAAGTATTTCAGGTGGAAACTTCTTTTGAAGTTCTCCCTTTTGTTAGGAAAGCCCAAAGATCTTTGCCCAAGGGCCTCAGAGCACAGGACTCAAGGCTGTGTGTCACTGTGTGGTGTTACAGTAGCCTTAAAAGCAGAGATTCACCTAAAGCACTGGCTGCTGAAGGTAAAAGGCAGCCCAATACTCTGAGCAGCTGAGCGGGACCAGCCCGAAGCCCACCTTAGCCCTGTGTAGAAGGAGAAGAAGGAGGATTCAAGGCCAGTTCCAGCAGGGTTTCAGCACTTGGGATCTCTGCTCCTGCAGGCAGGGCTGAGCCACTGCCTCCTGGCACCAGCCCATTCCCTTGAGTTAACACCCACCTTGTTTCAAGGCTAATTACCCAGCACAGGAGGCTGGAAACGCATCAGTGTGCACAGCCAGAGCCCCTGCAGGCCTCACACGTGTCCAGACTGGGTAATTAGCCACAGGAATTCCAGCCCCCAGGAATCCTGACCACTGGAGGTAGGGGCTGGCTGGTCCTACTGGCTCCGGGCAAGGGGTCTGCATGAAGGAGCAGAGGGAAGCAAGGCTGCAGCTTCCTCTCCAAGGAGGAAAAGCTGTATCCCTGCACAGGTAGGGTCCAACTGGGGCTGCCACAGCAGAGAACAGGGTGAGAAGTGTGAGTGTAAACTCCTGGGCTTGAGAAACCCTGCTGTAAGCAGGAGATCCCAGACCCCCGGCAATCCATGGTGCACAAACAGGTTAATGCCTCTAGGAAAAGAAAATGGAACAGAACACACAATTACTTCCTTCTGTATCAGATCTCCTCCCACCCTCGTTTCTCCGCTCCACTAGCACAGGAGGTTGGTTTGAAAGAAGAGACTCAGTTCTCCCAAACTCCTGCCGGATCCTGCCCAGCACATCCGTGCCTTTGGGAGAAGGGACACTGAGCTGATGCGTGCAGTGAGCAGCCAAGGCTGTCTGCTCTCCTGTGCGCTGAGACCTGCAGCACACAGAGAGCTCCAGCAGTGATGCTCCAACAGAGCTGAAGGCAGAGATGGCTGGACACTGGTTAATCGTGCAGGCTGCCAAGGGCTCAGCCCCACGGTGTTCAACAGCAGGGTGTGAGAACCAGGACTGTAACAAGGCTGAGTCCACTCCATCCACGCTCAAAATGGAGTGAAGAAAGTCTGTGTTCAGGGCTAACCCTTGTCACCAAGCCAACGGCCTGGAAACTTCCCTTCATAATGCCTCTCCCCCCTTCCACAGACGCAGAGGGGGAGCTGAAATGCCAAGGGCTCTGGAGCCGGGGAGGGAGCGAGCTGCTACCCCCACATCAGAGTTTTGGCTCGCTCAGGACAATGTTTGCAGTCACAAACACAAAGCAAGAAAAGCCCCATATGAGCACAAACACAATCCAGAAGGTGTGTCGGAAAGGGGAGAGGTGTTTGTTAACTGTCCCACTGCCAAAGACCAGCTGAGTGTCCTTCCGACTGCAGTACGCGAGGAAAGCCGGGATGAGATACTGGATCCCATTCCCAGCGTAAGCTCCTGTGATCCCCACCAAGGACTCCAAATCGTGGGTGCAGAAAGCCACCAGCACTGGGGGAATAAGCGTGATGGCAGGAAAGACAATCCTATCCACCACCCATGGGTAGGTCCCCCCTTCCCTGTGGAAAAGGGTCTTCCAGTTGTTGCGCAGGGTCACTGCGATGATGGGGAAGTTGGTGCTGATGGTGAAGACTGGGAAGAGGCCCAGGAAGTAACGAATGAAGGCAACGTTGATGATCTCACAGTTGGTGAAGTTGAGTGTGTACATGTCCATGAGGGTGTCGTTGCGGAAGCAGTAAATGGCAGTGAACGACAGGAGGCTGTAGAAAGCCAGGATCAGGATGTAATCGAGCAGCACGAGCTTGTTGACATGCTTCTTCTTGGAGATGGGTGTGATGAGGGATGGCAGAGAGTGCTGGCACATGAAGGAGTAGACGCACACCCCAAAAAGATTGCGGATGCCTGAGAGCTGGGCCATGGACGGGTGACCTTCAGCTTGGCCTCTGCTGATGCGGATGAGAGCCAGAATAATCATGAGGATGAAAGCTGGAGGGAGAGAGAAGGTTTGAAGTCAAGCCCAGGTCTGCACTCCCCACGACCCTCCTCCCACCAGCACTGGCTCCAGCTCTGTCTCCTGCTCCATAAGAACATCTCCTTATCTGTGGAGAAGGTGGTAGATCAAAGGCAAGGTGCACGGGAATTAATCACCACTTGCTTTCAGTGCTAGTCAGCAGATAAGGGAATGGGCCTTTGGCAGGCATCTCCCTCCAGTCCCGTTCCCACAGGGACTCACCCTCCCACCTAGATAGCAAACAGTTGCTCTGGGCCCGTCGGAAGTGGAATGCTAGCACGGCTGGCTGAGCCCATCACCCTCATGGGTCTCAGTCCATGGATGCTTCTGCCAACACACCGTGGCTAAATATCACCATTTAAAAATGGCTTAGAGATGTTTTGAGCTTTGACCTCTAAAGGAAGAAAAGATTAAACCTGGCTGCAGTCAACCCCAGTAATACTCTTCAATAGCTGCAACTGGACTAATGCTTCCAAGCCCTCACCTATGTACGGAGGCAGATGCAAAGGAGCAGCAGCTACCAGCATCTGTCCCTGTGATCTGTCAGGCAGGATAGAGCAAGAACCAGCCAGCCGCAGGAGGAACAGGCTGGCTGCAGTTAATCCCAGGGTGCAGAAGCCAGTCTGGAAGGGACTAAAGCAGCACTGAAAGACTGCGATTAAAATTCATCACTTCTAAGGCACCAAGTCTGCCCCTCACTTATGTCAGGGAAAAGCCTAACGACGTTTTACAAAGCTTATCACAAAAAAGCAATGTGCTATGGACAAAAATGAATCGAGAAGATTGCTCTAATGCCCTTATTTACTCTGCTGGTGGCAATTTGAGCCAGCAGCAGTTACTGCTCGCCTGTTATTCCTAGCATGGCACATAAAACCAGCAGAAAACTAATTCTGGTGTCACAGAAATCACATCAACCTGGGAAAGATGATCATCAGCTGCTGGAGTTAACAAGCAACAGGGGAAAAAACCCTACCTGGCAGGGCAGCAAGATTTACAGCCTGGTGCTGGCAATGGATGGGCCACTGCGGCTTGCACAGAGCTGTCTCCTGCACTGGTCTGAGGCATCAGAGAAGAGCTGTGAATTATCAGGTAACAAAAAAACCAGCACAATGCTGAGACAACTCCTATTACGGGCAACTTTGGATGTCATAAATATAAACACAGAGGAATTAAACAGAGCAGCACAGAGCCCACAGGAGGGTGGCCACCGGCGCTGCGAGCCTGGCCGTGGGGTGACCAGGACACTGGCTTGCTCTGTGCCAAGTGCTGCTCTGCCTGACACAGCCGGCTGGAGATGGGAGACCCTGCAGGGACAGGGCTAGGGAAGATAGTTACAGACCAGTGTACAAATGCTGCCCCTCCTGTCCCCAGTGAGACCAGAATAACCTGAACATCCATCACCTCCCGCGCACCCCCAGCACTCTCCGAGACCCCGTTTCTCCTCTCATGGCAATCCTCCTTTCCTTCCCATGGCAAACACCACCTTTGTGCTGAGCCCTCACCAAGCCACACTCTGCATTTCATTTCATGTTGCCTCAGGAGGCCTCTCGCTTCCAACTGTCCCCAGTGACAGGGCAAGTCTAACAGGTCTCCACCAACACTGGGCTGGTGACAGGACATCCATTCCTTCACGGCACCACCAGGGCCAAGCCACTTTGGGAGTGCTGGGCTCTATTTACTTCCCCAAGAGCAGCCACAGAGGGCTATGGAAAACAACAGCTCATTGCTCTGGGGCTGTGCAATTCCCCTCGCCTTCACTCAAGCCAGCAAGTGAGGGGCACTGTGAGCACAGGTACAGTTGTTGTGCCTCCTCCATTGCTCCCCGGAGGGGAGATGCTTGCCAGTGTATGTGTTACAGCAAAATAGCTGGAAAGAACTGTGTTCCGGGTGATGTGACATTGGCTGCTCTCCCTAGGGCTGCACAGGCTACAAGGAAGAGGAGAAGGTGCCCTGAGCAATGAGAAAACCAGCTTTGGAAATACGAGATGGAATAACGAGACCATTCCTTTCCTTCCCACTTGGGACATGTGGCCATCCTCTGCAGCCCAATCCTGAGCTGGTCCTGTACATTACCTAGACATAACCACAGAAGTCTTGCACCTCTTCCTCTGAACACAGTAAATTTCCACCTCCTCTGCTCAGCAGGGTGAGGAGTCACCTGTTTCCATTTCCCAAACTCACCACTGGCTCAAAGCCCTGCTTTCCACACCAGCACTGATAGGACCAGTGCAGGGGAGCTTGCAGGCTGGCACCCCATCCTCTGAGCAGCTCCTCAGTTAGAGACCCATAGGCTCTCCTCTGCTCTCTCTGACAGGGAGCACTGAAAGAACAGAATCCCTGTGGATTGCCTAAATGACGGATTTTGGCTTAAGCAGCTGGAATTCATAACCTTTTCCTTAAATACTCTTTCAGAAATTAAACATATTAAAGTTACAAGGCATAATGATCCAATCTAGTGGAAGGTGTCCCTGGCCGTGGCAGGGGGTTGGAACTGGATGAGCTTTAAGGTGCCTTCCAACCCAAACCATTTTGACTGTATGAACAGTAAGACCTAAACCAGCACTGCTTCCAACAAGGCTGTGCTCCCCCTGCCCTGGTGCTCTGCATGAGCCTTGAGACGGGTGGTGCTGAGTAAACTGGAATCCTCCCCTGCTCAGTTCCAGCCTCAGAGAAGACAACAGCAGCCCTGCCCCAATGGTTGTGTTTTCTCTCACTCTACAACAGAAGAGTCACTCCTGGATCCAGAGAGCTAAAACATTTGCATGCCAGACTTATTTATTTATTTGCATGACAGATTTATCTGTCTGTCCCTGGGAGGAGACAAGCCCCAAAGTGAAACTCTGAAACCCAGTTATGCCAGATGATAAATCAAGATGAAAAGAAGATGACAGATGCTGACTGACAGGCAGCTTTGGGCAGACAAGAGGCAGCTCAGGATCCTCAGGCACACACAGAGCTCCTGCTCACATCTTCCTCTAGCTGGGACAGCAGGCTGAAGGCAGAGTCACACCATTCTATTTCAAGTCACAGTTGCCACATCGCCTGTCCCATAGTGTTCCTGCACCACAAGGACCCTGGTGAAGTCAGATATGGGTTCATAAAAAAGCTTTGATCTCTTCCTCTACACACATGAGAAGATACAAGCAAGATGCTCCAGGGATGACACACCTTCAAACACCATGACCAACAGGCACAAATCAAGGTGGACAGCAATGCTACCATGGCTTGTTTGTAGGTTACATGAAAACTTTGGTTTAAACCTTGATTTAAACCTTGTAAGTGCTTAAAAACAGACAAGGGTCGTGATCTTTCACCAGTGTCAGACCCACTCCAAACCCACACACCACAGATGGGCTTGGCAGTCAGTGAGGTACAGAGGACACTTCTGGTCCCATCATCTCTCCTCTAGATGTTTGAGCATCATTTTTACTGAAGGATGTAAGACTGAAAAGAAAATAGAGAGGGGTATGCCATAAAGGAAAAGCTGTGATGAATCTCATCACCTACAGACCTCTCCTGTCACTCTTTGAGGAGCAAACCCTGACTCTTCTCACTGACAGTGCAGCCCTTGCAGGCAGCTACTGCTGCCTGTCCTGCTTGACTCAGGAGATGTTGATTCAGAGATAAGACAGCTCTGCTCTGGCTCTTGCAGGTGGAAAAAGGATGAATATGGATGAGCACACATCCTAATAAGAAGACCTTGGGAAATATGGGAGCCTGGGGATATTAAAAAATACATTTTGGTGAACTTTGATAGAAGCCTAATGAGGCTGCAGAAGAGCACTGGAGATAATTTAGCCATTCTAAGTTTAAGGATTGTTTTGCAGAGTCAGAGCAAACACCTTTGTAACTGAAAGAACGCTGGTTTGTACATGAACTTCATCTCTCTGCAGAAAGGCTATTGCAAGGAAAGGGAGAAGCCCAAGGCTAGAACACATTATTTTCCCCCATCACGATAGGTTCCCGGAAGAACTGATGCTCAGAATGAATTCCTGGCTTAACCCTCCCTTGCATCCCTGGCAAGGCACTATGGTTCTGAGACGCTTGACTTGGTGCCCCACTTCTGTCTCTCCATTGGCATGTGGAAATTAATGGAGAAGATCCTGAACTGAGCCATGCTAGGAAACAGGGAGGAATTCAGAAAGAGGTGGCTTGGCAAGGGGGAAGCAAGCTCAGAAGTGAGGTTCTGCAGGACTGTGGCATTGGACAACATCTCTGTGACTGCAGGAAGGAAGGTCAAAGACAGCTATTGCCTCCCACGTTCAACAGTGAACTTCAACCTTCAAAGCACTGGTCCCAGTTAAAACAAGGATGGTTTTAATGGTTCTAGAAAGCATGTGGGCCGACATGAACTAGGGATGAGCAAAAGACTTATGGAAGAAAACAGAACAAAAGTTACATGACAATCACCTGTATGTTAAGAGTCGGAAAGGTAAAGACAGAGGAATTGCATCAGACCTCAAGTCACATCTTCTCCAACTCGGTCCCTACTCTCATTCTTCCTTCCACAAGGCAAAAGTGGTGAGAACATCCCCAGGGATGGACAGAGGCAGTGGTGACCACCACACCATGTTGTATCAGCAGAGCAGCTCAAGCCTGGCTGCTCCCTGCCCCCATCCACAGGGATTTGTTTAAGCAGAGGGCTGTGCTGCTGACATGGCTGTGGCAGGACCATCCATCACCTCGCCTGACGCTCTGACAGAGCTTCCTTGTTGAAGCAGAGCATCAGCGTGCCAGGAAATAATGATAATGAATCACCCCTTCACAACACATGCCACTTGCTTCCCTCTTCATACATTAGGTGGCATGATGGATCCCAAGGAGGAGGTTTTCATGAGCTCCCTGAGCCTGTTCTCTTCGGAAAGAGGAAGGTCTCTCCCTACCTTAACCTTGATGCTAATCCTCCATCAAGCCAAAACACAGCCCACTCTCAAACAGAGGAACAGATCTCATTTAGCTTAACGTTGGGCAGCTC